CAAATATTTTTGGCCTACTACTTTTTCTAATAAGTTTGTAAAACATGGAATAAAATATGAGAGTGTAGCAATAGAGTTATTTGCAAGGGATAGTAAGCAAAAAATTGTTCCTTGTGGTTTCGTTACTAGTTACGATTACCCCTGGTTTGGYTATTCACCTGATGGTATAATTGTTAGTAATTTTAATGAACCAACTAAACTAGTTGAAATAAAATACCCATAGTACAGTCGGGTTACAAGATGTTATTGAAAAAGWGAAGTTTATTTCAAAAAATGCTGATGGGTCATTATCATTAAATAAAAAAGATACATATTATGCTCAAGTCCACTTTGTAGTTTATAGTAGTTTAGAACATAAATATGTAGTTATAAATGTTGAATTTGATTTTAATTATTGCAAAACAATATTACAAGTTTTAAAAATTGTTTATTTTGAAAAATTATTCCATACAATTTGTGAATTACAAATTTAAAATAAATATACTTTGGACTTTTTTAGTTAAAATCTTATACACTAAATTTATCATTTGCAAAAATGGGAGAGCTTAAGTTACGCATTCCACAAATTATGATCATTATGTCATATGCTAAATAATTATGAGACCATGAAAATTTATTTTGGAAAATCTTAAACGACTTAATACGCTGGTTCACTCTCTCAATATATACACGTGCACTAGCTATGTCTTTATTTAAAAGTGCCTCAGTTTTAGAAAATATTGTTTTTTTTTTTTWAAAAGGAGGTCGGATCAATTCAATTTGTTTTTCTAAACATAAGTCGTCAATTAAAATTCCCTTATCTACCATAATCCAATCAAATCTTTACGTCATTCCTATCAATCCCACTTTGCTCGAATATTGCTTTGTCTGAAGCTCTACCTCCACATGGTTTGCTTACATATGTTTTAAGTCCACCAGGTGATATACCTATTAAGAATTTTAAGGTAAACGTTGATTTATAGTTGCTATAGGTTTTAATACGGCATGTTAAGCATTTGGGTTTTTGGGTTGCAATCTCTGTGCAGTCTATAATTACTCTGGTGTTACTAAACTTTTCAAAACAATAAGGTATATTTGATAAAATTTCTTGTTTTGATGGTCAATATACGACACTATTGAAAATCATAGCTAGTGACGGTATAATTGTGGTATAAATTAATCTATAAGATTCAGGTGAAACATTTTTGAACAATATTGATAATGCTACAAAAGGTAAATCTTGTTTAAATTTCATAAATACCATRACAATTCGTTCTTTATAAGTCAAATTATGAGAACGTTTATCTGGAAACTGCAAGCGATACACTTCTTCAATCTTATTTAATAACTCAAATGAAGGTATTCCTGTCAAAGTATATACATTTTTAGATGAGTTAATTATTGAAATAAATGGAACCATTAAATCACCACTAGTGACTTGAGTGGACACATTAGTCGTTGTGCCTTTATAAACAATTTGATCATACAATTGTTTGATCATTTCAGCAGTATCATCTTCATCAACATCAGAAATGTTTTCTGAACACGTTGATTGAAGTGGCTATAATTTAAATTGAAATACAATAACTTATTGAATATTTTTAAATCAAGAACAAATTCACCTTTTCTTGTATTTCAAAAGAAGTAGAAGTTTCACATGAATAATTTAAATTTGTAGATGTTGTGGGTAAATCTCTTTTCTTTGGAGAGCGTCTTTTTTTAGGAGATTCTAGTGAAACTGTAGACTTTAGCAAATTTAGACTCGGAATAGCAGTAGGCTTAAGTCGTTTTCGTTAAGTATTTACTCCTGTACCATATTTTTTAATAGAACCATTACAACCAAATAACTTAATTTTTTATATGGTATTGGTTGGAAAATATTACCTGAAGGTATAGAGTCGTTTTCAGTGAAGTGGAGTAAACACACACGAAGTTGTGTCTTTTTCAAAGTTTCTTTTCCAAACCTTAAGTTCTTTACCCATACACAACGCCTGTCAACTAATTCCTCTTTTCCCATTTTATTAATCCAAAGCACCTTTGGATCATTTTCTTTGGGAATTAAATGAAAACTTATATTTTCATTCGTAGAGTAAAAAGTTTTACAACCAAACACACCACAATAGATTCTACTGTKGCGAGAAACAGCCATTTTACCTATACTTTTTTTCAAAATAACAGAAATATAAAACACAACAAGTACACAACTACTGGATTAGCAGGTACTAGCACAGACTATATTATTTTGTCATATTATAGACTGTGGTACTAGATAGGTTAGTGTATATCAGCGGTTTGACAATTTTATTTGACCGGGTAAAGCCTAAAATATACCACACTGCACCCACTGCATAAATTATATTTTACTAAATAAAAAATCAGTTTGACTGAGTTATTAGCACTTATTAATTATTATGTATTAAATACTTAAGACATTGACTGAGCAGTGAGCGGCTGACCGTTTATTTTTAATTTTTATTATGTCCCACATAGGATAGTTATATTTTTGTCCACTAAGGAGCGATTATTAGTTTGTTATATCAATTACTTGAACAAACCCGTGTAATCATTAATCGGTATTTTGTCAAGTTCATTTCATTCTGAAAACGCCTACAGTAATTGTCGATATTCCGCGAACAAAAACTATGGATATACTCTATATGAACGTATTATTTTTTCGTAGTATTACAGTCATACTCATTACTAGTATTATAAGATGTTGAACATATTATTTGAACATTGGAAATTATTTTCTTTCATACAATCGTTTATAAACCTGAGTGTAACCRTAYGGTTACACTAGGCGTTTATAGATATTGTTCGTTCAATGTGATACACGCTATTGGGTATTAGCAACATGTTCATGTGATGTATACGAAAAATACAATATATTTTAATTAGACTTATTGATGATTTAAACATTATATTGTTTTACAAAATAATATTTATAAATTATTTAGTACCTATATTTAGTATATTTYCGTATTTTATTTTATAATGCATAACATAGAAATATTTTTGCAAATTATTTTGAAAAAATAAATAAAATAAAACACGTGTAGTGTTGAAGAGACATATTATATATTTTTCAAAATAAAAAAAATATAAGTATTTTTTGTTAAAATGTTTAGGAATGATTTTGCTTTAGAAGAACTTTTTAATATATTAGACAATGAGCCCGAAATTAGCGAAGAATTTGGTACTCCAGATGTATACATTACGCCCTCTAATCCGAGTATACTTACTGACGAAGATTCTGGTGATGAGGAAGAAGGGGGAATATTAGATAATTTATCCGGTCCCCAACTAGTTTCAACTGCAGAACTTGTATTTTCTAATAACTCTTGAATCGGAGAATTTATAAATGATCATAAAAAAACAAATGATAAGTACCATAAAATTAGATTTAAAAAAAAAAACGCCAGATATTGGCTGAAAAATCAGCTCGTAGATCCAAACCAGGTGAATGGGTAAAAGGAGATCTTCAATGCAATAATTTTAAACCATTTCCTGCCACTGATTATTCAAAGTTTTCTTTAAACTCTTGTATTGAACTTTTTGAACTAATGTTTACTGATGACATTTTTGAATATTTGGTTTCTGAGTCAAACAAATATGCCATGTTTTGCAATAGTAAAGACCCTAATATCAAAGTAGAAGAATTAAAATGCTTTATTTCCATTCTCATTTTAATTGGTTATAATTCACTTCCGGGTAAGTGATATTATTGGGAAGACGGAAAAGATATGAAAAATAAAATGGTGAGTAATGCAATGCGCCGTGATCGGTTTCTTCAAATTTCACGGTTTTTACATTGTGCGGATAATATGAATATAAATACTACAGATAAAATGTACAAACTTAGACCTTTAATTGAAAAATTAAAAGTGAACTTTCTCAAAAGCTTTCAACCTTATCAATATTTATYGTATGATGAATCTATGATTAAATACTACGGTAGACATGGTCGTAAACAATTTTTAAGGGGTAAGCCTATTCGTTTCGGGTATAAAGCATGGTGTTTAACTACAGATTTTGGATATTTTCTAAACTTTGATATATAYCAAGGGAAATCTCCGAATTTAAACACAGCTTACGAAGATGAATATGGTAAAGCTGCTACCCCATTAATGGTTATGCTTGATGATTTACCAGAAGAAAAAAAAACTATCATATTCTATTTATTTCGATAATTCATTCACCGGATTTAATCTCTTAGTTGACTTACGTGAACGTGGATACGGAGGAACAGGAACAATACGAGACAATCGTATTCCAAAAAGTTGTCCTATTACAAACAATAGTATATCTAAGAAACGAGGAGAGTATAAAAGTACTATTAGCCGAGAAGATGGATTGATTGTCGTTCGTTGGGTTGATAATTCAGTTGTTTCAATGTCATCTAATATTCATGGAACTGAACCCGTGTCAACAGTTAGACGATTTTTCACAAGAACCAAACAAATTTATTCAAGTTCCACGGCCAGCAATAATTACTAATTATAACAAACACATGGTTGGAGTCGATCGAATGGATGAAGACATAGCCAGATATCGACATAGCCAGATATCGAGTAGGGATTCGTGGAAAAAAAATGGTGATGGCCTCTTTTTACTTGGCTCTTGGACGTGGCAATAACTAATGCAACAATAATTAAAAAAAAAAATAATAACTCCGGCTCTGAATGGTTAGTCATTTCAAAATATCATCCAATTATACAATGGAGTGCATTAATATATCATATTATGGAAAAGGCCTAAACACGTTAACAGACATGATAAAAATAGGGAGAAAAAATAACATAATAGTTTGTAATAGTCTTATAATTTTCTGATTACCATTGAATACTAAAAAATCGATTAAATAATGTATTTATATGTACCTAATAACCAGCAGTCGTTAATGGGTGGCCAACATTTTCGCCGAAATGGTCACGCGMTGAAACGGACACCGTCGAATTGATACATCGCCGAAATGTCTGCGCCTAAAAGTCCTATTCTCTTTATTTTATTTATGTTATTCAGATTAAAAATTGATTAATWATTTTTTATACCTATGACCTAATTAATAAATTAAGTTAAATCTAAAAACATTTGAATAATTCTATAATTTTAAACCTACCAAAATGTAAAGTTACATTTACATTATTGGTTTTGGGGCGTCAAAATTGAATATAATCGTATTATATTCTTGTTGTATCATTAACAATGATAAAAATACCATGATATTTAATATAGGTAGATAACTATAATGAGTATGTTACTTAATCTTTCGATATTACGAAAAATACGTATTATGTGACACTTTATACAAACACACAAGTTATTTTATCAAAAGGTTGTTAATTCACGGTGACAAGTAATCTGCATATGGAACAATAGTATTATTTTAAAATATTTTGAAACTAATAATATATTTTTTTATTAGATTTTCATTCACATTCATATAATAACACAATAACATAATATTATAAAAAAAATAAATACACATTAATATATCATTAGGTTGAAAAACAAATATCCGATCCGTTAAAATTATTAATGTAAATCATTAATCATACAGAAATAAAATTTGAAAATGAAAACATCATATTAAGRTAAAATAATATTATAAAAATGTTATAAAGTTTTTTTTTAACATGAAAAATTATCAAAATAAAATAAACAGCTGTAGTAAAGCGGATGGATATGCGGTAAGCACCCTATTACTTAAACAAAAAAACAGTAAGCACAAATTTTWAAAAAAGAAGTTTTATTCCTGATATTTCTACTGCCTGGGGTATAGTTATAGAAGAATTAGAAGGTAAAATCCATCTCAAATCTATGATCGGTATCTTTTAATTTAGTAATTTACCAGTAGCAAAGTGCATAGAGACGATATAATCCATATTATAAGAATATAAATTGGAAAAATAACTTGATTGAATTAGATTTATTTAATTTTAAATATTTTAACTAATTATTTAAAAGAATATACATACATTATTTTTATTAAAAAACTGTTGTATTTTTAGATTATTTAGATTCTCAAAAACATATCCATGCGCACGCAGCAATACACTGTGGTTTCTGRCGGGTTGGTGAGCAATAGCGGCAATTCAATTAACATTTTGTCATAAGTTATCATTTAAGTACAGAAAAAATATTAATGGCTATGGGATATTTTATTATTATTTTTATTTTTATACACCAAGTGCCAATTACATTGGCTCTAAAACTAAAAAATTTAAACAAGTACAAATATTTTGTAGTAAATAATGAACAAAATACAACGATGTGTTTATTTTTATTTTTGTGTAATTATTATTGTTTAAAGCAATAATAATGATTCAATTTCAGATATTTGGTAGCAAACTGTGTTTAGTTACTGCTTTTGGGGAGTCAAAAATAATTTTTATAGGAGAAAAATAATAGTTATAAGAAAACATATAAGTAATTTTCGATAAAAAAGATTTTTTGATTTCTTGTAGCTAGTATGTAACTAAAAAATAAATAACCATACACGTCTTGTAGTTTCACCGAATTTTTATACTATCATTTACACATTTATTTTATGTCCTAGCTGTTTCAGTCAGTGCAGACGAGTGTCGAGTGCGTGCAATTTTTATTTTAACAATGCTGTGTAGCATGAATATAATGTCATACGTATGCGGGCCTAAGATACAGTGTTTATAGATAAGGTATAATTTTGAAAATAACTTGGGATTTTGGCTGTYTCTTTTCATTCCAAGGAATGTTTTAAGAGCATATTCTATGAATTTGGATATTTAAAAAATTTAAACGCATCTATTATTCATTTCAAGCGATTTCTCAACAAATTATTTTTGTTGATAGGTATTCAAATATTTTTAGAAACGAAATATTTCATTACTACTTGACTTATCTTTATATATTTACAATTACATTTTTGAAATATATAGATTAATTTTAAGCTATTTGCCTATTTTAACAAACACGAAAATATTCAAACCGATTAARACGTTAAATCACTACGTCAGTATTATATTAATAGTTATTAATAATATTCATAATAATAATTACTGAGTAATAAGTTAGAATAAAATATAAAATTATGCGAATTGATTTTTCAAAAGTTAGTTTACCTAATGTTGTTCAGTTAGGTACAAATAGGAAAATTAATTATTAATTAACTATAGCGATATAAATCAGTAATAAAATATAGGCTGATGGACTAGAATGGTTTTTAAAATTATGCGAATTGATTTTTCAAAAGTTAGTTTACCTAATCTTGTTCAGTTACCTACAAATAGGAAAATTAATTATTAATTAAATATAGCGATATAAATCAATAATAAAATATAGGTAAATAGAAATATAGGCTGATGGRCCAGAATGGTTTTTATATGTATGTAATGATTTAATTCAGATTTAACATAGGTAATATACATATGAGTGACCTACTCAATGACGAGGTACCTATACTGAAGTGGCGTTGTCAGAAGGGCTTTGGGTGTTTAATCTCCAGTTATTGCCTTTCCTCCAAAATAAATGTAATATTTATACTATTTATAAACGAAAATTTAAAAAAACTTAGTTTCATTTATATTTAACCCCTCTCCTCTTCATAATTCTGGCTACGCTAATGGTACATTCGACACCTAAACTATACAGTAGCTGAGAAAGTCCTCCAATATTTTATTTATAATCCCACATTTTACTACATCTACAAGGATGCAACTATGCAAGTACATCATTCAKTTTAAATTCGATTTTAATACAATATTTAACAACAATTTTAATTAATTATATCGGAATATTGGTTTTTTTGTAGTATGTACGTTGTCTCCTTAAGATTAATTAATTTTTAAAGAAAATCATTTTTTATTACATAGGTAATAATTAATTAATTAATAATTATTTAAAATTGATACGAATTTTGTTTGTCAACTGTCACTAAAACCTAACCAACTATAACAACAGTTTTATTTGGTAACTCGCAGTGCCAATCCGGCGCTATCGTGCTCGTTTTTTGCAATGCACATAAATTAGAGCTTCGGTTCAGCAATACGCCAATACATAATTCTTCTTTTATTTGTTTAAAAAGTTTGATAATATAATTTTATTTTTAGTGGGTGTGTAGATTGACAATATACATATAGCTTTCATTTTTACAGGCTTAAGTAATAATTAAAATGTGTCAATAAAATATGATAAAAAAATGTGACATTTAAAGATACATTTTAAGGTAAGCCAATGGATATTTTGCATTTTAATACAATAAAGATCTTATTATAATTAACTTCGTGTATCCTACATTGATGACGAAATAGTTAATTTTTAACTTATTTAATAGTTTATTTCAAGTGATTAAAAAAACAAAAAATAAAAAACTTATGCTAAAATTAATATAGATAATTGAGTATATAAGAAAGCACGTTTTCAAGCATATTTTATGATCACACGACAACTAAATTAGTATTTACACGAAAACTACTCAAAATATTTTTAGCATACCTTTATTGAAAATTTAAACACATTTATGATTAGATTTTTTTTTTAAGTTTTGAAAACATATTTGAATTTCTTATTATCTTTCCTAGGTTTTTCAGAGAAATGGATTTTCCATTTTGTTGTATCGTTTAATTAGTATAGTATTTTTTTTTTTAAATGCACTTCTACTGCGGTGTTGCTAAAAAAAAAATCATTGCCTACAAAATACACAGACAARAAGAAAACAATTATGTTACAATTAGTAGGCAATTAGCCTGTGCTATACTATTTATTCATAGTTTATAAAAAAAGTACAACATATACTCTCATACCTAACAAGTTATATATTTAAAGTAGGTAAGAATATCTGAAATTGATATTATTCTTGATAAAATGATAACAATCTTCATTATAATAAATGTCCAAGAGAAAAATCATCCAATGAAATAATAGCACTATAAGACTATAACAGTATAATATTGTATTGTAGCATACCTATAAACTATACAACGCATAATATTATATAGAAAATAAAACTGAATTATTTAGTAATTAACGATTGAGAAGCCAACTAACATTCTCTATACCAATTAAAAAGCAATAATAATTAATTATTAGTTAGGCTTAAAAAGTAGTCAATTGGTTATGTGAATTATTCATGATAATTTAAATCATTGTCTAATCCTATGAAAAACTTCAACGATTAAATTGAAAATCCAGTCAGTTTAAAAGCTTGTTGAGTTATATTTTATTTAATATTACTTACGAGTTCTAACGATTATTATTTTTAGTACATYTATTTCTTTTGTTTCATGCCTAAGACATTATGGTACTGTTCTATATAACAAAAAGAATTGTATTTAATATAAAAACTTTTTTAAATTTAGAATGAATTATCTATATATTAAATTGTGAAAAAAATAAAATAAAACGTACCTATGCTTGAATATTTTATGTAAATACCTACTATMAAATAGTATTATTTTGTATACCATAGGCTGGGCAAGTTAACTAATTATTTTAACTTATAGAAGTTACCTACCAACAAGTTAATCAGAAAATAGTAACCAAACCTAGTTGAAAATAAGTTACACTTTTTTTTGGAGATTGAATATTTACAATTTATGTCAAAATATGATAAGCACACAGATGTGTACTTTTATATATATATATATATATATATATATATTGTTCCCTATAATAAATATTGCAT